CCTGAACCAGTCACAATGAGTGGATGTTTCCTAAGGGATGGCCCGGTTCCCTGAGCATCTATTGGGCCTCACACTCAATCCAGACCTCAAGTGGAACTCGTACATACGATCCATCGCTAAAGATGCATGAAGAATGGTCGGTTCCCTGTACGGCTCCAGCAAGTACCTGACATCCGGTTCTATCTTCTACCTTTACAAGATCGGGCCGAAAATGGAGGACTTCTGTCATATTTGCCCACATACACAATATACGTAAGCACATTCACTTATAAATTTCTGGGTATTATAAACCTAATGTCTTATGCAACCATTTTTTTACCAGTGCTCATATTGCATTTTTTACTGTTATCATTTCATGTTTTTACCAGAGCTCATATTGTAATTTTTGTTGTTATTATCGCTTTTCTCTGGCACTCCTTATTACTGGTTCTCATATTGTATTCATTTCTATGCTTAGTCGGCTCAGGAGATTTTTGTGGCCTAGCATATGTGCTGATTCCTTAACAAAAATTGCAATATGAGCACTGGTAAAATATGATTACTGAAGACATTAGGTTTATAATACCCAGAAATTCATACACAGATGTTCTCAAGGACACATGGCACAGTGGATAAAGGCGATAGTTTAATCCAGTGACAGGACTCAAAGAGTGTGAGTTTAATTCCCGGCTAAGGCAATGGAGAACTTTCAGAGGGAAATTAACAGAAAGGCACGTGGAACAAGAAAAGGGTTCAGTTCGTCATTCCAACCACCTGAAGAAGGCCGGCGAGTACAACGGCCGAAACGTTGTAATAAATATGGCGACAAAGATGAGGACAATGTAAATAATGTGCAAAGCATAACCTACTTAGCGAGCTTGAGTAAATGGATGTTGAAACAAGGTTTAGGAGAGATAACAAAAAGACAAATGTATTAAGGGAGCCATGATCGCCAACGCCCTGACGGGACACAGCAAATAGAGAAGAAATGCAAAAAAAAAAAAGTCGAAGATAAATGTTCGGAAGAAGGAATTATGAAACATTGTCAAAATTAACTTTCTTGAGAGTCTGTAACATTTGTAAAATGAAAGACCAGTACAAAATCGGATTAAGATATTGTATTATTTCTTTAAAGTAAAACTTAAGTAAAATTACACGTTTTTTTTTTTGGTTATTGCCTACTGTATTGTCTAGATTCTCAATTTTCTTTGACTTTTTCGAATAAGAAAAGTGACAAAACTCCAACATACCTTTTTTCGGACATGTTCGAAATATTCACTACGCAAAAGTTTATTATTAGCGTATTTGAATTTATGAATAAAAATAAAATTATTTGAGAAGAATATTAAATTATCTTTAAATAAAACATGCCAAATAAACTTACAAGTGGCAACACCAATATTCCTAAATTACATTTTTTACGTTTGTTTTTGCAATGAACATAAAGAAATATATTTCCATATTTCTGAGATGAGGTACTGTAATTATTTGCATAATTTACACTGTTCAGACTGTTGTCCTCATTTTTTTCATGTTCACGACGTTTCGGCCGTGTTACGTTCCGGCCTTCTCTAGGTTATTGGAATTTCGAATTGAACCCTTTATTTCGTCCACCTCAAGGACACATAACCCAGTGGATAAAAGCGTTGGTTCAATCCAGTGACTTGACCTAGAGTTTAAGTTCAATACCTAGCTATGGCAGTGGTGAACAAAAAACCCCCAAAAAACTTGGAGAGTTGAGTCAAAGGGCAATAACTGAGACATCATGGCGCATGGAACTAGAACAATCTACCCTATTATTGCTCTAGATACATATATAAAACACAATTAAAATACTCATTTATATTTCGGCACCATCACTTGATAAGACACCAGAAGTGTTGAAACAAAATGGCTATTTTTGTAGTGAGTTTATAACATATTTATTTTATAATTTTGAATAAATTATATATATATATATATATATATATATATATATATATATATATATATATATATATATTTTCAATTAAAGGTGCAAATTATAATTTATAAATTCATGAATCATTCATACAAAAAAACAAATATAGAGGTTAATGATTTAAATGGCGAGAATACATCTTCACAAACAATATAAATGACATACATCAACCCCGAACCTGTATATGAATGATATGATCCCTGTTCATAAATTCCAGTTGCATAAGGTCTTTTTTAGTTTTTACAAGCTTTCGTCTGTTCCTACAGACATCCTCAGGTATGGAAATAGATTTTGTTCTTGTTTTTACTTCTCGGTAATAAGAATCATGAATTTATAAATTATATATATATATATAAATTATAAATTATAATTTGCACCTTTAATTGAAATTAAAATAACTGATCCAATGTGCAACTTTCGGATAAGTATGATATTACTGTAATTATTGAACAATATAGTTCATGCCACATAGACAGAAAATCTACCAGTAAAAAAGAATTCTCTTTTGTACAAAAACGCACAACCTTAAAATTTAAATTCAAACTCAGCGTTGCGACCGCACGTTCCAAAACAATAACACATTTCTCATAGCATTTTTTCGGATTTTATCTCTATTTTCGTTGTCCTCTTATTAACGAGAAGTAAAAACAAGAACAAAATCTATTTCCATACCTGAGGATGTCTGTAGGAACAGACGAAAGCTTGTAAAAACTAAAAAAGACCTTATGCAACTGGAATTTATGAACAGGGATCATATCATTCATATACAGGTTCGGGGTTGATGTATCTTATTTATATTGTTTGTGAAGATGTATTCTCGCCATTTAAATCATTAACCTCTATATTTGTTTTTGTATGAATGATTCATGAATTTATATATATATATATATATATATATATATATATATATATATATATATATATATTTTTAAATTGAGTAATTATGATTATTGTTGAGGGATTCTCCCTTTTTACACAAATGGAATCACCCAGTATATAAATATTCTACGGCTACGTGAAGACAGAGCAAGACTGAAAAGTAGAGTCGAGTCGAGTCCAGAGTGACAGAGTAAAAGGTTGTAAATAACCGGAAGAGTGAGGGTGAGGTAACAGCGTTGTAGGAGTCACAGTGAGCGAGCACGTAGACTCAGTAAGAAGTCATACAGCGATACTTCAATACCAAAGAGTGTATATATATTTTGCTACTAACCCGTATTCCTGGAACTACTAACCTGCTTTACCAGTTTGTATTATTACGTTAATACCTTATTTTCATATATTCATTCCTGGCGTTTGTTATTTATTGCTACCGGATTTCATCCCGGAATCCACAACAATTATTAACATTATTTAAATTATTCGGACTATATACAGTCCGAATAATGTAAATAATGCAAATAATCAAATATTCCATGTTAGAGATATAGACAGATATTAAAGGATCGATACAGACCCGATAAACCAAAAATATAAAGACAACTAGTAAAGCTGGCACAAAATTCTAACCATTTGGCATTCTTACACTGATGCTGTAACGTACGATTATTCCTTTAGGCATGGCACCAAAAGTCCCCATCGATTGAAGGAGAGCTTCACTGGTCGCAGAGAAAGTGGAACACGCCCTTGTCCGAGAGAGAATCCAGTAAAATCGTTGGATAAAACAGAATCTACAATATGATATCTCCAAGAGGCTGGAGGCCTTCTTCAACAGAATTACCGACGAAGAAGACCGAAAGACGATCCATCACGACCTAGATAAAATCCTTCAGACATGAATTCTATGCAGTCAAGGCCCGCCAAGTACAAAAATTAAAACAGTGTAAATAATGTAAAACTGAATAAGGTTGTCAGTTACTCATACGTCGAAACCAACGGTAGAGTACATCATATCTTATGTGTGTGTTCCGGTAATTTCAAAATAGACAGAAAGTCACTATTCATTATTTATTTAAAAAAAAAGGTATGGAACTGAATATTAGTTTAGCGAACAATATACAGGTTGGTGCAAAAGTAGGTTGACTGTATGTGGAATAGGTTTATGTATCGGTTATATTATTAGAACTGAGTGTCTTGATGAAACATTCCTGAAATTAATACCCAAAAAGACTTGTGCAAAAAAGTTTGTCGAATGTTAGAGGTAGACTTCAAAGCTGTGTAAATTGTGATGGAAAACAGTTTGAGCACCTACGTTGATAAAATTTAAGGGCTTTTGTATTATTGTTTACAATAAAATTTAAGGGCTTTTGTATTATTGTTCACAATAAAATTTAAGGGCTTTTGTATTATTGTTCAAAATAAGATTTAATTGTCAATGTAATAATTGTGTTTGTAAATATAATTGTATGTATATGTAATCTCAAAATAAATGTAATTATTTACTGTTCACCTACTTTTGGGCCACCTTGTATATACTATTGTATAGATCTTCCTACGGACCTATTTACCTTCTGTTGTTGGATATGAGCCAAGTAGGTTTCAAAATACGAACCAAATCCTACTTCGCTTTATTTTCGGGATATCTTTCACTGAATAATCCAAAATGAACCCAACATTTTCTCTGGTATTCATGTCATGTAACACAAAAGTCGCTTAAACCTTTGTGGATCTCTAGTCTAAGCTTTTTATTTATTTTTTTTAAAATTATATTACATTATGTTTTTTTCATCACGAAAAAGGTTTTACTTTCTTTTATTCTATCCAAATAACAAGGTCCAGCGGATAGAAAGCGTTGATCAATCTTCTCTGATTGACTGAAAGTCGTTAGTTCAATCGCTCTGTTTGGATGCGCAGGAATATCCATCGGCTAACAAAGAATTCCGCGGAAGACACCAAACGTGATGCGTATATGAATGAGAATAAAATAGGTCCTCCTCGACAGATTAAATAAAAGCCTATGTTTAACATTTGTCGAGTTCTAACAAGTGTGACAGATATCTGAAGAAAGACCAGAATGTGCATTGACTCTGACAGAAGCAACAATGACAAGCGAAAGTGTTCAAATAAATCAGTCTATCATAGTAATGAAATATCTCGTAAATTTTAATTCAGAATGAAAAATTACATGACAAATTATCTATCTATCTATCTATCTATCTATCTATCTATCTATCTATCTATCTATCTATCTCAGCTTGTTCCTATCTATCTGTCTATCTATCTATCTATCTATCTATCTATCTATCTATCTATCTATGTGTGTGTTTTCTTTGTTCTTGCGATTATGTTGTTTATTGGTATTATTATAACTTCGTTTTTCATACTTACTACGCTATTTTTTAGGATCCAGTGAGAATTGTCAGTAATCTTATTATAATTATGCTTCTCCTTTCGTTAGTTTGCACGACCGTTACGCCCTGTCAATACCTCATAAATAAGGGACTATTCCGTTTCGATCACGTGGAAAGCGGGACAAACACTACTTTAGTTTCAGTGGGAAAATGAATGAAAGAAACAAGGGAAGCGAAGAGAGAAGTGGAGAGAGAGAGAGAGAGAGAGAGAGAGAGAGAGAGAGAGAGAGAGAGTGGTGGGAGAGAGAATCAGTTTAAGTTGATGAAAACAGATACTACTCTTTGATCTTAGTCAAAAGTCCGAGAAGCGATAGCAATAAAAGCATCATTTTTTTTGAACGACAGAAACCGAGTAAAGTAATCGCCAAAAATCCTGTTACCATAAGTAAAATAACATTGTCTGTTGAATTATTTTAAAATTATTATGAAGAGAACTGTTCGTAAGACGAGGATTTCGATCGCTTGAGAAAAAGAGGAAAATCACTTCTTGGTTTTAGTGAGAAAATGAATGAATGAAAGAAAGAAAGAAAGAAAGAAAGAAAGAAAGAAGTGAAGATAGAAATGTTTAACGGCTGTTTCAATGAAATGGAAAAAGTTGTTAATTTCAAATCTTTTCATTTGTACCCACTTCTTAAAATAAAGAACAAATCCCTGATTGGGATAGGGAAGGAAATATGCAACAAAAGTCAAAGGAAATAATAAAATAACAATAAAAACATAGAAAGTGTTCTTTCATTCCCTTCCACTTAAAGGTTCGGTTAGAATTCTATCCAATTCCCCCTTCTAATCGCTATATCTCTGTACAGCATATACTATCGGAAAAAAATCTAGACATTTGCGCTTCTGAAAGTCAGAAGGAAGTATAAAATTTCTTCTGCAAGCCTGTCATTTATACAACATTTATTATTGCTTGACTGCCGTTTTGTTGTTCCCGTTATTTGCAAAGGCCATCGTTCTTGTGTGTTTGCATATAATACCCATGAGCTACATGGACGTTCCAACCTAAACCTTTGTTTGCTGATCCGTGTGGATCTTCAAATCGTAACGTGGGCATGCGGGTCAGGGATGAGGTGGAAGCAATCTGGAAGTCTTCGTCTTCTTCTTCTTATTATTATTATCAACATCATTATTATTATTTTCATCATCATAATCATCATTATAATTATTATTTTCATCATCATCATAATTATTATTATTATTTTCATTTTCATCATCATCTTTATTTTCATCATCATCATCATCATCTTTATTTGCTTCACCATTAATATCTTCATTATTATTATCTTCATTATCATAATCATCAACATTATTCTAATTATCATCGTCTTTATCCCATTATTATTATTATGATTATCATTTTCATTATTATTATTATTATTATTATTATTATTATTTTCTTTGATTTCTAAGGTTAGAAATGGCATCATAACAATTTCCACTGACCCCCCCCCAAAAAAAAAAAAAAAAAAACAAAAAAGCTATTTTACATAGATAAAGCCCTTCGTAAAGCGTGGGCTGTACTTGTGCGAACAATTTTTATCAACATCATTATTATTATTTTCATCATCATAATCATCATTATAATTATTATTTTCATTTTCATCATCTTCATTCTCATCATCATCATCATCATCATTATTATTTCAATTTCATCATCATCATCTTTATTTTCTTCATCATTATTAATATCTTTATTATTATCTTCATTATCATAATCAACAACGTTATCCTAATTATCATCATCGTTATCCCATTATTATTATTATCATTATTATTTTCAACATTTTTATTATTATTATTATTATTATTATGATATTTTAACTGATTTTACCAAAGCAAATGGAAGTCAACAAAAACAAAATGATAAAATAATGGCAATAAAGAAAAACTTTATATTTTTATTTGTTTCTTTTATAGTCGTATGTGGTATTTTTTTCTGTTTTCCATTTCCGTACGCAGTCACATTTTATGTCAAAACATTTAGAAAACGTTTCTTGCCCACAAGTACCAACATAATACAGAAAAGAAAAGAAGAGAAAAAAAAAAACAACAAATGAAGCAAAGGAACAAAAAATGTTAAAATTCGAAAAATAAGAATTACTCAGGAAAACATAACATCACTTCCGCCTCTAAAAGGTGGGGAATACGATGTTAGAAGAAAAGATGGCATGTCTTTTTGGGGCGAGGTGGGGGGCTGATTTCTGTGTAAATATGACGCGTTCTTTACGCTTTGCCCCAGAATACGATGAGAACCAAAATAAACACAATTTTAGAAATAGAAAGGACGACTTAAAAATGTGCTTGTAGCGTAACTCTTATCAGCAGAAGAAAACGGAAATTAACGAGGAGAGTTCAAGTTCCAGCCGAGTTTGTAAAATTCACTTATTTTCGCTATATTCCATGTACTTATTTACAAGGAAAAGTCATTAATCTGTTTGTTTTTCCCGTTCAGCTATGGATTAAATAACAGGGTAGTTTGGATGATTATTCGAATTTCAGCCGAAAATTGAAAATAGTCTAAAAATGTGAATGAATATATATATATATATATATATATATATATATAAAAAGGTGTTCCAATAATTTGGACCGATTTTAAACGTGAATTAAGTTTAAGCGTCGAATGATTTTTTTCTTTTCCTTTCTGATTTAACAACTTAAATCTTTGGCAATTTCAACCATGGAAAGTTTAACAATCAAACAACGTGTTAAAGTTATCGAAGTCTATTACAAAAATAGACGTTCAAATTTATAAATATATGACTCATTGACTCCGCTAGCAAAATGTACACCAAACAGTGGCCTTTTGTGGATGCAGTGGCTTTTTAGCAATCTTTATTGGAGTTTCATCAGCCCAAATGCGACAATTTTGCTTATTAACGAATCTACCAAGATGAAAATGGGTTTCATCACTAAAGAGGATTTTTTTACGAAAAATCTTCATCAGCTTTTCTTTGCTCATGCACCCAATTGACGAATGTACGGCGCTCCAAATGGTCAGCAGGTTTCAGTTCTTGTGTCAATTGAAGGTTCACCCTGTACAAGTCCAGAGATCCACTCGAGGTAGAGGGTTACAGAGCAAGAGGCACAGTTTATGCAGGTAAGCGGGGGAAGATAACGGTTAATCCTAGAGTTGAACGGGTTGATATTGTAGTGATTGGGGGAAAGCATCCTATTGGGAGTCGGTTCCACAGAGCAGTGGTTCGCGGGAAGAAGTTTATTCCTCACGAATGGAACACGGAGGGAATGAGGGTGGTTTGCTACAATGTGAGTCACATGACGGGTCCTAGCCGTGAAGTTTAGAACTGGTGGAACTAAGGAATATTGTTCGCCTGAGCACTTTCCGTGGAAGTACCGATAGAACATCTCATCTGTGACAGAGCGGTATACAGGGTGGAAAATTTCTCACCCACAGGGACGCGGATACACTTCCGGACTGGAAAGCATGGACTGGTCAGCTCCTGCACAAATATGACAACAGTACTCCATGTTAGGCCTGATCTGGCTCTTTTAAAGGCAAGGGATAGCACGAGGAAATAATGTAAAAATAAAAAAAGGAGAATAAACAATAAAAATGGATGAACGTATAAAAGGAGAAAATAAATGAATGCAACAAAGATGGAAAGAAAAAAAAATAGAAAAGAATGAAATAAGGAAAGAGAAAGGAAAAGCAATAAAAGAAAAACAAAATTACGAGAGAAAAAAAAAATTAATGCCATGTCCCTTCATGATATAAGTCAGCGTTTCTCAGCCAGTACGACTGGTCGCACTAGTGCGCTTTGCAAGGTTGCTAGCTATCTTTCAGGGCGTATTAGTGCGCCCAGTCGCAAGAGTAAGTTATGAATATCAGAGATAGAGCATGTGTAAATATAAAAGTGAACATTGAAATCAAAACTTAGACGCGACAGTCTGTTTCATACTAGACGCAATCGTCAAGCCAGTTTTGTAATGCCAACTAATACCCGTTGCCAGTTTTGTGGTGCAAACGAATACCCGTTGCCAGTTTGTGGTGCCAACGAATACCCGTTACCAGTTTTGTGATACCAACGAATACCCACTGACAGTTTTGTGATGCCAACGAATACTCGTCGCCAGTTTTGTGGTGCCAAAGTGTACCCGTTGCCCGTTTTGTGATGTCAACGTTTTTGTGATGTCAACGAATACCCGTTGCCAGTTTGTGGTGCAAACGAATACCCGTTACCAGTTTTCTGATGTCAACGAATACCCGTTGCCAGTTTTGTGGTGCCAACGAAAACCCGTTACCAGTTTTGTGATGTCAACGAATATCTGTTGCCAGTTTTGTGGTGCCAACGAATACTCGTCGTCATTTTTGTGATGCCAACTATACACGTTACCAGTTTTGTGGTGCCAAAGAAATCCCGTTAACAGTTTTGTGATGACAACGAATACCCGTTGCCAGTTTTGTGGTGCCAACGAATACTCGTCGTCATTTTTGTGATGCCAACGAATACACGTTACCAGTTTTGTGGTGCCAAAGAAATCCCGTTAACAGTTTTGTGATGACAACGAATACCCGTTGCCAGTTTTATGAAGCCAACGAATACCCGTTACCAGTTTTGTGATGTCAACGAATACCCGTTGCCAGTTTTGTGGTGCCAACGAATACCCGTTGCCAGTTTTGTGATGCCAACGAATACGCGTCGCCACTTTTGTGATGACAACGAATACCCGTTGCAAGTTTTGTGGTGCCAACGAATACTCGTTGCCACTTTTGTGATTTCAACGAATACTCGTTGCCTCGTTTGCGATGTCAACGAATACTCGTTGCCTCGTTTGCGATGTCAACGAATACACGTTGTCACTTTCGTAATGCTTGAAGTGACTTTGTTATCGCAAATTACAGATATAGCAACGCTATTGAACTATGCTGGTGTCAGAAGCTTTCGAATATAATAGTACTTGCACTAATATAGACGACTAATAGTACTTGCTCGATAATACTCACTCGAACAGTAATCCGTATAGTGATCCGAATAGAGGAATGGCATATTAAATAGAGCAGTGAATAGCATTTCGTATAGTAATAGAGGATAGAGTAGAAAAGATGATCCGTATAATAATAGGGCATAGAATAGAAATGCGGATCTGAATAGCATAGAGGATATACTAAAAATTGCGATCGTTAGTCGTCAGTTACTTCTTACATATATGTGTTTCCTCTATGGTCACCTGGTCTACTTAATTCTATAATGGGATCGCCTGTGTTTGCTCACTGGCGATCTATGTTCAAACTCAATTATCGGCAGCGACAATTTATTCCTATATAAGACTTTATTATATTTCAATATGTTAATAAAATAGGAAAGTAAAATAAATATTGCCTTTCATGAAGAATGAAGAGAGAAAAATTTATGAAAAATCAGGAAAATCAAAACAAAAACAAACTTTAAAAAAAATTACATTGATTCCCAAAGAACAAATATGGCCGACATATCAAATACGTTTTTTAAGTAATTGTTATCCACATCTGCCTACATTGCGTTTTATTATGTACTGTGCGAACTGATTGCATTTGCAATCTTGTTCTTCAAAATAACAGGTTATTTAAGCTGAGTAAACATTTCTGAAAACTTTTGTATAACAGCACCTTTATGTTTTCATATTTTCGTTTAAAACATCTGTTCTTTTTCAACAGAAAATATATTATGAATACAGGAAGAGCCAGCTGTAAAGAAAAGACCGAAAAAAGACAGAATCGCAAAAAGCCAATAACAAAAAATAAAGCATTACCATTTTTTATGAACATCTGCAAACATACACAAAACAAATAAGCAAGGTAAAGTAATTAACAGAATTAATTTGAAAACTATTAAATAGCAAGCACACCAACATATATTCACGGGTATGTATAATTAGATGATATTTTTTATGTGGCAGAAAAACGTAAGAAAAGAACGTGACAGATTTTTTCCTCTGTCGCACTCCTTCCTAGAAAAGCTCTTTAGCAGTGGCTATTCTGGAACTCTGAAAGTAGAGTGGAGACCTGTGGGCCAAAATTTTTCTCTGAGGGAAGGGGGTAAATTCAAACTTTATTTTCATACTACACCACTATCGTATAAACAACTTAGCAATGAGTTTTAGTATAAGTATGTCACTTCACTAAATTAAGCAGAATAAATTTTCATTCATAGTCGTGGAGTTCTAATCTATTCTTACCCTTTTTTCCACTCTCAAGCTGTTGGACCACAAGAGAGGGGTTAACTTCAAAATAAGATCAAATGGTTAATACTAATGTCAATACAAGCTATGTAATTTGTTTGCTCTGATTTTTTTCTTCTATAAAACTGAAAAAGTTGGCGTGGGGGGGGAGCAAACAAGAGGCCAACCAAAATTCTGAGAGGGGGGCATTGGCCACTTCTCCCCCTCCTCGTAGAATCACCACTGCTCTTTAGCACCGTCAACCATTAATAGAATAAGAGGAGGAGACTTATTCTCCGTTCTAAAGCCAATTTCCAACGGATGCAACGTCGCCAGACTACCGTTACTATCCATGGAACTGTCATATAGCCTGATGTGCTATACCATTTAGCTATAGAGGAATCGTCTGGTTAGCAAGGTCGAATTATTGTTTTTAAACTACAAATTTCCCATGATCTTTCCCGAATGCTCATATCTGCTCGAAGCGTATCTTAACGTAAACAAATGGCTTCATATACTGGGTTACGTCGTTTCGAGTTAAGATTATACGTCACTTGTCAAAAATATATAGAAAAATAAAGATCAAGTTTAAGTCATTTTATTCAACCTTACGTCTGCCCGCCACAAATACTGAAGTCATAATATTACTAGAAAAGCGATAAAAGTACATAAAATCATTTTACTGTACAATAAATAAAAATAAAAGTATATAAAATCATATTAAAATACGTACATTTAAAGTAAATATTAATATAATCATCATAAATCCAAGAGAACGAAATGTGAAAACATTTGTGTCTCTGCGTTGTTGTCTTATTTAGCGGCCTTTAAGGGCTCAATATTGGCATTTTCTACGGTAGTTCCAATATCTACCGTTTGGCGTCGTTGTCAACGCCACATGTGATTCCCGCGAAATCGAAATCCAGTTTTGTTTAGGCATACACATGTTATACGCCTGCTTATCGTCCACTATTTTATTCTCATTCATTTGTGACTTTATATTTTGCCCCAATGGATCCTAAGAAAATTCCTAGTGCAAGTACTAAGCGTCATGCTATAACGCTGGACGATAAACTTACTATGAGAAATCGTCATGTAAAAGGTGAAAAGGTTATATCGATTCCTCGATCTTTCGGATGACTGTATCGACGATTGTTCACAATAAGGATAAGATTTTGGCACTTGTCTATATTTCTGAGATGAGGCATTATGTACACTATTTACATTATTCAGACTATTGTTCTCATCTTTGTCGCCATATTTATCACAACGTTTCGGCTGTTGTACGCTCCGGCCTTCTTCAAGTGGTTTGAATGTCGAACTGAACCCTTTATTTCGCTCACTGCGGTAGACTGACATCCATTAGACATGGCACGTGGAACTAGAACAGTAAATAGATTTTGGCACATATCGAATCTGATGGCCCAGTGATGAAGAATACTGTTATCAATAAGAAAAGAGGAAAATTTTTGAAGAGATGGAACAACTTCTTTATCTTTGGATTACTAGATTGAATCATCAGCGTGCTGCTATTAGCCAAGAAATCACTCAAGCGAAAGCGTTGTCTTTGTTTGAGGACCTGGACGAAAAATACCCAGATAATAAATATGGGATTCAAAGAACGAAAACGTTATCACTAGTAAAAAGCAAGGTGAAAGTGCATCAGCTGACGAACAAGCAGCAGCCGATTTTCCTATTGGAAATGCTTTTAGCATTGGCTAAGAGCATTGAAGAAAACGGGTTTCTTCCTGGACAGATTTTTAACCTTGACGAAACTGTATTATATTGGAAAAAAAATGGCTGACCATTCTTTCATTGCTCATGCTAAGAGTAAAGCTATATCGCTGATAAATTATTTTATTCAGAATACTGTACGTACATATAATAAATACTATAACATGCAGTGGGGCGTGCTTATTTGCGGTTTATAGTGTGGTCGTGACCTCTGGAACCAATTAATGACGTAGAGTGAGGCACACCTGTATTATGAAATCCAACTATTATTTTAATATATTTATTGCTTATACATTTTTGTTATAGATATAAATATTTAAGTTAATGCTCTGTTTATAATAAACGTTATTAACAATATTTACCGTCCTGAATGTCTGAGAAATTTCTGAACGTCATAGAAAATATGTGTCCTCCGACAGGTATCGTATCTGTATCCTCCACAGAAACGTCATAAAGCCTGACGTGCTATACTATTTAGCTACAGAGGTTAGTCCGAATTACTGCTTTAAACTACAAATTACCCATGATCGCTCATATCTGCTCGAAGAGTATCTTAACGTAAACAAATTATGTCATATGAAATGGACTAAGTCTGTGTATTATTTTGATTTATTTATTGTTTATACGTTATTTAAGTAAATGCACGGTTTTTAATAAACAGTATTAATAACAACGACAATCTCATTATATTCATATCTATCTATCTATCTATCTATCTATCTATCTATCTATCTATCTATCTATCTATCTATCTGTCATTATATTCATATCCATCTCCTTATGTTCATACCTATCTCATTGTATTCATATCTACCTATTTTTTTATATTCCAATCTATCTACGCATCTATCCATCTCATTATATTAATATCTATCTATCTATCTATCTGAGTCTGTTCATAAATGCATTAACATCTATCTATCTATCTATCTATCTATCTATCTGAGTCTGTTCATAAATGCATTAACATCTATCTATCTATCTATCTATCTATCTATCTATCTATCTATCTATCTATCTGAGTCTGTTCATAAATGCATTAACATCTATCTATCTATCTATCTATCTATCTATCTATCTATCTGAGTCTGTTCATAAATGCATTAACATCTATCTATCTATCTATCTATCTATCTGAGTCTGTTCATAAATGCATTAACATCTATCTATCTATCTGAGTCTGTTCATAAATGCATTAACATCTATCTATCTATCTATCTATCTGAGTCTGTTCATAAATGCATTAACATCTATCTATCTATCTATCTATCTGAGTCTGTTCATAAATGCATTAACATCTATCTATCTATCTATCTATCTATCTATCTATCTATCTATCTATCTATCTATATTCATTTCTATGTATGTATGTATATATTCTATATATGTATGTATCTATCACATTATATTAATTTCTTTCTATCTATCTATCTATCTATCTATCTATCTATCTATCTGGTTACTCCGACATGGTCTAATGGTTAGCAACTTTGCCATGCCAGATCAATTACGACTGAGTAGTGACTTCGATCCTCGCTTGATGCTGCATACTTTGGGCTTTGTACTGCTTCTAAGCGACACTTAGTAAATCACTATCGATCTATCTGGTTCTATTCATATCTATGCATCTGTTGGTGAGATGTATATTCTACTCGAACTGCTTCTTTCCATGAACTTCTACTTAGTGAAAACAACTCCCAAGTGGGTGCTTCCCGGTTCACTACACTCTTCAATTTTACCGCTGTCTTCCCCTCATATATATATAAAATATGCCTCTTAACCCTTACTCTGTCATCTCCTACCTCAAGTGGTTCTTGTGTTTTTGCACAGGGTGAACAATATTAAGAAAAAAAAAACGAACAAAAAAAAAATATTACGCATATTACAATGACGATAAGGGCACCTCGAACTTATTTCGCTAGAACAATTACAACTGAATAGTGAGTTCGACCCTCACTGGGTGCCCCACACTTTCGGTCTTGTGTCACATCTAAGCTAGGCTTAGATAATCATTTGAGTACCTCGACCTGGTGTAATGATTAGCAAGATTGTCTCACTAGAACAATTACGATTGAATAGTGAGTTCGATCTTCACTGGGTGCCCCATACTTTCGGTCTTGTGCCAAATCTAAGCTTGGAAAATCACTATGAGAATGAAGATAAGCCTCTACATGTCGAAGTTTAACACAAATATACATAGAGTACCGATATAAAAAATCGTTATAATCGATAAGCGAGGTCGAGAGTTCGATAGAGATACAGAGTCTATAGTCTGCGTTTATATATTGTCCCTTTATGTGTAACGAGGCAAACATAGAATTATCGTTGTTCGGTCCAGAGAATTGGGTTTCGGTCGGCTGACGTATGTTGACCGTGAACCCGAGAAGAATAGCAGAGCAAAGCAGGAACTAAACAGAATGGATAAGTACGTAAGCAGGTGGGATACAGCACATCAGGAAGAACTATACACTCTGCGAATAACTAAATTTTCTTACTTTTTTTTCCCCTCACTGCTTTTGACATTGATATCAGTAACCTACACAAGATAGGCTAATCGGTTTATTTTCACAAAAATAAATAAATAAATAAAAAAAATAAAAATAATAAAAATAAACAAAATTGAGTCAAATAAAGAAAAAGAAAATCGGAAAAAAGAAAAAGGCGTAAATCGATCAATGATCGATTCGATTTTTTTACGGTTTATCAACCATTTTCGGTTTATTTAAAACCGAAAATATTTTTAGGATTGTAAGAATAATTCTTTTTTGTTTTTTTTTCTTGCGAGTAAAAATTACATTAACAATTTTTTTCAGGTATGAGTTTTCCAGATACAAGACTTATGATTTAACCCGTAGCTAGATGGGAGAGAAGAACTGTATGTAAACCTTAAGAGTATTTACCTGTAAATGAACGAGCTCGACTGGAATTCGAATACGATTCTATGACTTCTGATTCTAACACACACATAAAGAAGGAAATGTAGAGTGTAAATTAGAAAGCTCGAGGAAATTGAAAAGAAAAACAAATGAATATAAAACAAAAATAGAAAGAAAGACAGGTTCTTTCATTTATATCTTTCTTTCTATTTTTGTTTTATATGATAATGTATTTATAAAATAAAACATGGCGTCGAGTCAGAAATTTTCATCATTATCATGAAATTTGTTAAAATAAAAAACAAAATCACAGGGGAAAAAAAAAACTTTGTGCAAAAAAATAAAAAAGTAAAAAAAAAATTCCCTTTTAAAAATTTATAATGAAGTGAAAACAAATAGTTATAAATTAAACCTTACATTACTTCCCTACGTGTTACTGATTTAATTATATTATAGTCAGTTATTTGTTTTCGAGGTTTACTCCCCCCCTCCACTAGTGAGAACAATTCTACTCAGACACACTTGTGTTTGTTTAAACACTCACAGAGCCAAACTGAGGTTTTTACTGCAACTATGCTAAGTGAACCTTATTTTTTTTCAGCTGGGATTTCAGAATTCGCCGACAACACCTCTATAAAGGGGTAAGACCTCCACCCCCAAATGAGGTGTCCTGTATAAGATGATAAACTACATCCGCGTCCTGAGTAAGACGATAAATTACATCTAACAGCAAGGCCTATGTTCAGGAGGTTTTGAGGAGCGTGGAACCACCTCTTAATTGCTGGTGTTCCCAGGTCTGCCCCGACCCGGGGTGGTAGCATCTGTTAGGGTCCTAGCTATGGGCAAATAGTTAATCCCAAACTGGAATAAAAACACTATGAAAGTGTAAAAATAGGTTTTAATACAAGCAATGAATTTTTGAAAAAAAATATTACCAGCAATACATTTTTGTAAAAATTTTATTGCCAGCAGTACATTTTTAAAGAAAAAATATTTCCAGCCATATATTTTTGAACAAAAATATTACCAGCAATAAAAGTCTTATCGGTATTAAATAATCCATTGAGGTGGATATGCCGTAAAACAAACCAAACCAAACTATAATTTGGCATGATAAACAATTTGAACAAGACCTAATACGCCCAGATCCTCGGTCACAATGACTTATGACTTCGGGCTAACCTGATTTTAAGCTAGGGCACGTAATGACGAAAGAGGGCTTAGAAAATTTGATATTCACAAGATATTAAAGGTAAGAGGGACGGTGGAAAACAGCGGGAATCTAAGTATTTGAGAGTTCGTTATTGTGGAGCAGTTTCAAGCATTGCTAATTTCTGCCTGAATTTCTGCCATAAATAAATAAAGGAGACATAACAGAAAATATGTAAATGGATGACAGAACCTGGTTTAGGTGAGATAGCAAGAAGACAACATTTACTAAGAGCTAGAAAGGGCAATAAATTGTTGATAGTCATTATCGCAGATGTCGTGAAGGGGTAGGCTACATAGAAGAATATGGTTTGAATGAAAAAAAAACGACTATTTTTAGGTCAATTGATTGTAATCTGAAAACAATTTCACATTAACAGATTGACAAATAGGCATATTTCGTGTCGAGTACTTTTATTTGAGGGACTAACGGAAGTTCATTAAATATTGATATGGGAGAATCCGGACAGATACGTCAATTTCCTGGTAGAAAGAACTACCCTGCCAGTTTTTCAAAATCCTGTTTTTTTTTCGTATCGTATATCTACTGTTGTTAGTATTGGACAAAAATGTAAGTGATTCAATATTAATATCTCCTAAGCGAAATACAGTACAATATTAAATGAAAGAGCTGGGCGTAGGAAGATTGTGTTGTCAGCTGATTATGACACATCTGTAGTGTTAAGGGGTCCACCCCTTTTTTATACAAGTGGACTCGCCCAGTGTGTACTTGGACTGCTGCCAGTGAATATCCGGAGTGATACAGTGAGAGAGTGAGAGTGTGAGGTAACCACTTTGTAGGAGTCACAGTTGCGAGCACGTAGACTCAGAAGTAAGTCATACTTCGATACTGAATTTTCCAGACTGTATGTATATTATTATTGCTACTAACCGCATTTCTGGATCTACTAACCGTATTACCAATTGTATTATTACGTCAATACATTTATTTTCTATAGTTCATTACTGCGTTTTTCATTTATTTTGAGACCCGATTTCATCCCGGAATCCACAGCATGTAGGATGTTATAAAAATCGAAGAAGGTCAGCTGAGTGGGGCGGACCACCCAAGAACCAGGTCAACGGAAATAAATCTTTTGAGGAGGAGGTTCCCGTTTAATAGATGATTGGAACGAAATATCAATAGATACTACAAAGTGGTCCAAGTTTCCCAGGGGACCGTGTTGCGAAACTTGGCAAGTGCGAGGAGAGGAGGTAAGAAGTACATTAAAGAAGCCCGGTGCTTGGATTTGCTAGGTAAACGAGTAGGAAAATCCACGATTGGAATAAGGGAGTGAGAAAAGGAAAAATTGAAACTCTGAATATCAGCAACACCGGTGACATTAGAATGTTTAAGCCCCGTTTCGTAATGGCCGCAAATATCACCGAAGACAATGATGTTCGCAGAGGGATGGAGAGAGTGTGCCGTTTCTATATTGCATGAGATAATGTCTATAATGTTGCAGTACTAAGAAGAGGGTGGGCGGTAAAGGAAAAAAGAGATCGCTAATAGAGAGTAATAATGAATGTCGAAAGTAGGAGTTACATGAGGATTCATGTGAGAATTGCGTTGCCGTTGGAAGATTATCCCGGATGTAAACACCCAAGGCAATGCATGTGGATGCTGGAATCTTCTCAGTAAAGGGGAAGGTAGACTGGAACAGAGAATCCATTGGTGGCATTCCTGTCAGCCTTCTGAAGAAGCTGATATCGACTATGCCAAAGGGACTTTTTGAAGTTATTCACAATGATGGCTGTTAAATTCACTACTGAGACGTCCTGTTGGGCATTTTTTTTAGGTATGGTCTTAAAATTTTAGGACTTCTTTTAGGTATGGTCTTAGAATTTTAGGACTTCTTTTAGGTATGGTCTTAAAATTTTAACTAGCTAGTATTTCGCCTAATTTCTTTGTAATTAAATTTTCCTTATTAAAGAAAATCTTTAATATTTATTTTCCTTTTCTTATTTCCATTTTTCGAAGCTCTACTCAAATAAGTGGTCGAGTCTAACGACGCAAAAGGGATATTTTTTTTTTATTTTCATTGATCTTAAGATTTTGATCTTCTCTCTTGCGATTAACCATGAACAATTACGTATTGATTTTTTGGGGTGCGTATGTTGATAATTGCTGCTCTGCGATTTTATGGTTACGTCACTTATGTGACAAAAACAATGTTTGCTGTTATATCGTGGCGAGTGTTTATATTATTATCAGAAAACAAATCACATAATAAGCGTTGAATAACCACGGGATCTCTTCCTCTGGCTATTATTACGTCTGTAAACTGGGCGACGACGATCATTTAAAATTTCGGCATTCCGCTATTATTTAGCTGTTCAAATCAACAACAAAAACAAAACAAAACAAAAAAAAAAAAAAAAAACAACAAAAAACGAAAT